CTAGCTCATCAAGGGAGTCATCCAGAGAGACAAAACATAAGACAATGTAAGGGCGATCTGGATGATGGGCTAAGGAAGAATCATCCTCTGCCATTTGAGAAGAAGGGTAGGAAGGGGTCGTAAACGCCTTACCTGTCTGTTCGTTCTTACCCTTAATCTCAGTAGGAGCAAATGCTACTCCTACTGGCTGTTCACTTTTGGGTTCCGGATCTGAGGGCAGTAGGCGATCACATGTCCCGGTGTGCCGCACTTGAGACATTGCGCATTGTCCATTTGCTCCTGCCAAGTCTTTCTAGTCATACCCATTTCGACCCATGGCTTCCCATCAGGAATGCCAGGGTGTCATGGGAACGCTCTTTGTTTCTTCCCTCCTGTCCTGGGTGCTCCTCCCTTATTGGCCACAACAGCAGTGACTTCCCCCTTCCTGGAGTCACTGTTGTTATCATTCTCCTCGTTCGGCCACTTTTCCACTGTGTCGTCATCAAAGACGACAAGGGTGTGGTCCTAGCGCTTCTGTCGCCAGATAACTCGTTTCCCATTATACCGTCTTCCTCCTCCTCCTCCAGACTTGACTACTGCTGCATAGGAATTCTTGACTTGAGAAGTCACATGTTCCCTTTGCGGGGCGAGGTCACGAAATTGCTTGTAGTTGTACTTACCGGACTTCGCTTCGGTGACTAAATGTCCCCGGATGGGCTCAGGCAACGCGCGAGAATAGATGTACAACACTTGGCTGTCCTGCAGGTTCAATCCAGGAACCTGCAACAATCGGTCAACTTCTCGGGACAAAGCCTCAACTGACGTCCAATGCTTTTTAACCAATTGACGTCAACTGGTCAAAGGCCTTGTCTTTCGTCATCTTGTGGAGGAAACGGTCCCTGGTTTTCACCAAGAACTGTTTCAGTGTCAGAGTCTTTGCCCACTCACCGATATCTTTGAACCCCGCCGCATTGGCGTTGGCCAACACCCATTGTTTGGCCTCACCACCCATGCAAGAAGTGGTGAACGCGACTTGGGACTCCGGCTCGACGGGTGCGGTACTCACGTACGTCTGGATTTCGGCAATCCACAACAAGAGACTTTCTTCTTTCTTGTTGCAAAACGTAAACGACAACTTCATCTTCACTTTTTCTTTCTTCTTCGGTTTTTCGGGTTCAACGCTTGTCTTTTCTGGAGTTTTTTTAGGAGTAGACTCGGAAGAATGAGAAGAGTGAGGAGTAGATGGTTGACTTGATCCATTTTCGTTAGATCCATTTCCATTGGATCCATTTTCATTTCCATTTGTCTTTATCACGGGACCAGCAGACTTCATTGCGTTCCCCATCAACTTCTTTACTTCTTTCTTCTCCTTCTTCTCTTCTTGTTCTTCTCCTCCCTGAATCTGATTCTTACCTTTCACAATATTAGCAATTGTTCTCAATCCAACAACGATTTCATCCAACCGATTTTGCTGTCTATTAATCTTCTCTTCTAGAAAGGTAAGATATGTCACAATATGAGCCAACGTTTGTGACATGTCAGTCTGTTCTCCGACTTATGTTCCTATTACTTGCCTGATCTCTTTAACTCTTAGTCCTCTTCGCTGTTCCTGTTCTCTTCTTTGACATACTTCTTCTTTCTTTCTTTCTTCCGCAGCCAAAGCATCTCTTAGCTGCTAGATATTAGAATCAATCGATTCTTCACTTACTTCTGGTTTTACTTCCCCCTTACGAGTAGCTTTCATGATCTCTTCCAGTTGCTTCAAAGCAAGCTGGTCTAGAGCCTGTCGCCCCTGAGCAATCAGTTTGGAGGCCTCTGTACCGGCTGCCACAACCTCCACAGCCATGATAGACTTCTTCAGGCGGTCTTCAACCCCCTGAAGATCGAAATTATCACGGATGTGTTGCTCGGCATCCGGTCCAGACAACTGTACCTCAATCTGAAACTGACTCCACAAAGCCAACAGTTTTTCTCTCTTCTTATCAGCCTGTCCCCTTGTCCTAGGTTCAGATGGTCCTTCCCCAACGGAAAGTGCAATTGGAATAGGGAACAAGAAAGTGGTCACAAATCTTGTCAAGATAGACAGTTGCAAACATTTCCAGAAGTTAGACATTTTGGGAGAACAAAAACAGGAAAATTCGTTGGCCAGATTATCCTACCGAAAAATAAACAACAAGAGACAATAATTTCACGGTCACCTGCCCCAACACTCTGTCTGAGTGAAAAAAGAACAATAATAAGGAACAAAAATTTTCTAATTCTATTTGCTGTTCTGTTTTAAACGTGATGACATCCTACTCTATCTCAGGTACCGTGACTCCAGGCCAACATGATCATCAACAAACACAAGTGAGTACACAGGCCCACAACACAGCCAGACAACAGGTAAGTCCGCCAACAAAATCAATCAATAGTTAGCGTTTTCCCCTTCTTGCTGTTTCGCCCTTCTTTGTCCTGCGTGACCAGCACCCAATCTGACGTTCGGCACCACAGCCACGTCAGTCTTCTTGCCGTGCTGCTTCAGTCATCAGAATGCTGTCCTCACTTAGGCACGGTCGTGCCTGCTACGTGTCACCCCAGGCCTGCCAACTCAGCAACTCGATGAGTATGCCAGGTCAGCAGGTCTAATCAATATCATCAATGGGGTGCACGTCAGCAATGTATGCTGAAATCGAAATACCAGCCTACCCCGAAGTCGAAGTTCCAACCTGCCACGTGTATCCCTGGAGTACCAATCACAGCAGCACTTCTGTCTGCCACGTCAGCACCGTACTCCAGTCATCATCATCGAGGGGGTACACGTCAGGAGTGGTACCAACGCGCCACGTAAGCCAGGTAACTGAATATGACACTGCCACGTCAGCCTCCTATCTCACCGAATGGTGAGTCAGCAATGCCACATCATCAATCTGCTATCATCCACTGGCCACGTCAGCGATATATCAATGCCACGTTGATGCCACGTCAGCATATGACGTGTGCTATTATCAATGCCACGTCAGCATCTGACGTGCGCAGTCTTGTCCACGTCAGTCTTCGTTGTAGATGTCACACTTGTCGTTGTCCTGTCAGTCACATTATCGGAATATCTGCTCCGATACCAAATTCCAATGAGCCCAGACGTGATGATACTCGTCAACATTACCAGTCCATATGATTATCGATCTGCTGATGAATGACAAACAATCCCAATGTATGTGATG